AATAAGACCTAGCGCATCTTTGGGAGCAAAAATTAATATAAGACACTGTCTTATTTTCGGGGAAACAGGGTAGCTTTGTCCTGGACCTGAAGAGCTATGATGTCTTCCTCATGCTTTTCTTCTAGGATAAGAGGCTAACATGGCCATTCTCAAGTGTTCAAACACCATGAGTCAGCTCTTCACATAGCCCCGCTCTGAACCCACCCCAGATGTGTTCCTAGCCCACAGTGTTCCCAGAATGCTTCCAGACTCCGTTAGCAGCCAATATGGTGAGGGAAAAGAAAGATGCAACCAGAGCTACAAGTCACATTAAAGAGGAATCTAGAACCACAGGGTTCTAAGGTTGTGTTGGATGATATGCCGGCACTGAGAGATGGGGAATGGGGTAGGAACCATATGACATATGTCTGTCCCTCCCTGACCCCCTTATCTATCCCTAGAGTCTGTTCCTATAATGGTGGCAGCCTACTGGCACCCCTACCTATTTCCCACTGGGAGAAAGACCCTGTACATTTATTTCTAACAGTCTGAGCTTTATCCAGCTAGTTATCTCAGGATCACAGCACTCTTCTGTCTGGGGCGAGCTCTTAGCAAAGCTTCCTTCAAACACTTCTAGACTCTATCATATTGAGAAAAGACTTGGCCAGTTTAGTACAGTGCAGAGCAGGTGTAGTGTCAGAAACTGCTGAGGGTGCATCATATTTTTCTTCCCCATTTCCTGTTTAAACCCCCCCCCACCCACCACCACCACATTCCTCTTCTTTGTAAGTACAGGGGTAGTGAATTCTGGCAGACAGGGGTCTCCCTCTCAGAATTCCTCACCTTTCCCCATCTTGTAGTCCTTGTGATGGCAGTTTTTTACTAAATTTATTATTATTAAGGCTGTCAAGCGATTTAAAAAAAAATCATGATTAATCACGTGATTAATCGCACTATTAAACAATAATAGAATACCATTTATTTAAATATGTGCAGATTTTTTCTACATTTTCAAATATATTGATTTCAATTACAACACAGAATACAAAGTGTACAGTGCTCACTTTATATTATTATTTTGATTACAAATATTTGCACTGTAAAAAACAAATTAAATAGTATTTTTCAATTCACCTAATACAAGTACTGTAGTGCAACCTCTTTATCATGAAAGTTGAACTTACAAATGTAGATTTATGTACAAAAAATAACTGCACTCAAAAATAAAACTTGTTTGTCTGAGCGACTGGCTGAACAAGAAGTAGGACTGAGTGGACTTGTGGGCTTTAATGTTTTACATTGTTTTGAGTACAGCTATGTAACAAACAAACAAAAATCTAAATTTGTAAATTGCACTTTCACGATAAAGAGATTGCACTACAGTACTTGTATGAGGTGAATTGAAAAATACTATTTCTTTTGTTTATTATTTTTACAGTGCAAATATTTGTAATCAAAAATAAGAATATAAAGTGAGCACTGTACACTTTGTATTTGGCGTTGTAATTGAAATCGATATATTTGAAAATGTAGAAAAACATCCAAAAATATTTAATAAATTTCAATTGGTATTCTATTATTGTTTAACGGTGTGAGTAAAACTGTGAATAATTGTGATTAAATTTTTTAATCAAGATTAATTTTTTGGGGTTAATTGTGTGAGTTAACTGCGATTAATTGACAGTCCTAATTTATTATTATTATTATTATTATTGACCATAGCACCTAGGAACTCTACACATGGATCAGGATCCCATGGTCCTACACATTGTACAAACACAAAAAGATTTTCCCTGCCCCAAGCAGCTCACATTCCAACTATCACACAACAGACATCAAATGCAGACAGACAGATGGGGGAGTACAAGGAGGCATGATAGGTAGTGGTCTCTGAACACAAGCAGCCAAGGATTTTTGTAGGTGTAACAGCAAAGGAGAGTATTGAGGAGGAATTTGAAAGTGGGTACATTTGACTTAACTCTGCTCCCTGGAGTACTATAGATATTGGGTGTGGATCAGCAACAGCGGCAGCATACATAGGTACGTGGAAACACTGTGAGACTGCACCATTGTTTGTGCATTTATCTGCATGCATTCCAACTGCTATTAACTGCGTTCGGTGTAGGTATATTGAACAGCGGAGGGAGTAGCTGCGGCAGGTTGGTAGAGCTGTGACTGTGATATGAGGCCAGGTGCAGGTGTACCTTGATGGGCCAACCATGCTTCATTCCTGCATGAAGTGCTGTAGGTTGTCACTGGTCTCCGGGGCTAAGTGAGGGGTAAGCAAAGGCAACGTCTCAGAAGGAATCTTCAGGGCAAGGGTGAAGGTGTGGGAACTGCAGAGACTGATAATATCCTACAATATCCTGAATGAACTTTATTGAACTAAGTTAAAACATACTGAATGAGGGTTAAGACCAGTGGGGTCCATCATATTAAACATGCAATTCTGTATGTGTTATTATAGCATTGTATCTTCTCTAGTGGGAGGGAAAGCCAATTAACTTCCTCCATTATCAACCTTTTCAAGCCACCCCCAGAGACATGCACATATACTACTTCAAACTGGATTCTCTCCAGGGACTAACAGACAAAGGAAGGGTTTTTCGATAAATAGCCTGGTTTTAAACTGGCTCATGGTCTTCTTCCTGATCCAGCAAATGGACAGGCGCCTGGTCCACGGAGGACGCCAATCCTTAGAGGAGGATTGGAAGGACGGGACCTTCTGAGATCCCATAAGAGTGGGTGCTTGTTCTGAGCTGAAGCTGTGACGAGCTTGTAATAAGGAAACCCCCTTGGGTGCGGGGTTGAAGAACTGCCCCAGCCAGAACCCTTTTAGGCAGGGCTTTGGAGCTGTGCTCCGGCTCCACTCCAGCTCCAGGCAAAAACCTGCAGCTCCACTGCTCCGGAGCTGCTCCGCGCTCCACTCCAAAGCCCTACTTTTAGGGTTGGGGTTAACTCTGGTGGACTTATTAGCATGCCTGTAGGGTTGAGTTTTTTTAATTGTTTTTAATCTATTTTCTCTGTAATGTTTTTTGCCTTATGAATAAAGCAGGCTTGCTTAGGAAGTGCTGTGTGGTACCTTATAACTGTAGCAATCACAGCTGTTAACCATCTCGGAAAAGAAAACAAGCAGCTGTCCTTAGGCAACCTGTCTATGCTGAGAATAATACAGGGAAGGCAGGGAACTGTGCAGCCTGGAAATACCCCAGTCAGCAGGGAGAGGGATGTGGGTTTCCACACAAGAGAGGCAACACCCGGGGAGCCGGAAGGCTGAGAGTGGATGCTGTTGCTGGACCACTGAGGGGAGACACAGAAGCAGTTGCCCTGAACTGTGACAGCAACATTTTGCAAATCTGGGGTAGTTTGCATGGAGCACACTCAGTGTTTGAGTGAAGGCCAGGTGGAGGTAGTTTCTGCTTGCTACGCCTGATCCAAACCTAAGTTTTGCTTTATCACAAAGAACATGTTAAAGTTTGTTCTACAGTGTTGATGTGCTATGTTCTCAAAGCGTTCTGTCGTATCTCTGAGAGCATGTTTGTTACTATGTGATGGGTATTGCTCGAAGATAGAGATACAGTTGGGTTGTGCGGGTGATGTGTCCCTCCACTTTGTACTTCCTGGTTTTCAGAGGTTTAAGTTTAGCCACTATGATTGCCACCCGTCCGGTTTTTCACCCAGACAGCCCGAGTGCCGTTTGACAAGCCCTGATGTCCGTTTTTTTTGATGGGGTGGCAGGGAAGAGGCAGAGCAGGGGCAGGGCCTTGGCAGGAAGAGGGGAGTAAGGGGGTGGGGCCTTGTGGGAGGCAGATCAGGGGCCTGGCCTCAGGAAGAGGCGGAGCAGGGGGGATGGCCTATGGGGTCCTGTTACCAGCCCTTAGAAAGGTGGCAACCATATTAGCCACGCTCCCCGTTCTGGAAGGGCAGGAGGCAGCACTGGGCAACCTTAACTCTGCGTTAACAAAGCTTTTGAGTAGTTCTTTCACTTGGCTTTTTAAAAATAATTTCAGCAACTCCATGTTCCACAGCCCAGCTCTCCCCTCTACTGCCTCTGATTCCTGGGCAATCCTTAACCTGGCCACAGAAGGCCCTGTCTGCATGGTTAGTCCCTGTATTGCCCCTGTATCGTCTCCCCAGCTCGGAGTCTTCCTGTCTCTCTTATGGTCCAGCCCAGTCCTCTCCCACCCCATGCAGGGACAGACTTTGGCAGAGGCCCTGTAGGTTGAGGAGCTGGGCAGAGGATGTGTGAACAGTGCAGATACTGGCATGGAGTCACTGTGGCTGAGGTGTTTTTTGGAAGGAGGACAGACTTGGGGGGCATGGATAGAGGAGTGGGGGGGTTATGGGTGGCTCAGCTGAAGACCCCCTCCATCCCTCACTGCATAACTCTGATGCCCCTCCTTCTCCCCTGGCCCCCTGCACTGCTTTGACCTCCCTTTTCCTTTAGGAGCAGCAGCATGTGGGGACGGGTGAGCCTGGAGAACATTCCCCACTGCTGGAAGCCATGCGATTTAACCCAGAATCATTGCCCATTTTTAACTGTGTGATATGAAACTGCTGTGAGTAAAACAATTATTTATTGGAGACGTCCACACTTTGATATGTATATGGTCAGATATGTACAAAGAAGGTAAAATGTTAATCTGTAATGCTATGCAACATTAGCTTAGGGAGGATCTAACAGTTTTTTTTATCCCCCATGTAGACATACCCTACATCTCTCTGTGTCTCGGTTTCCCCTCTGTACAATGGGGATAATAGCTTTTCTCTGCCAGGGAGAGGTGGTGTGCTCAGATTCTTTGATGCTATAAACACCTTAGCTAGAATTTTCCTGACATCTGAAAAGTAAGTCTGTGATTATGAGCAATATGTAATATTTATATACCTCTGTTTAATTATGGATATATTTATTACAAAGGACTATTACTAGACTAAAAGTTATAAGGGCTTGTCTATACTGGAAAGATAGACCAGTATAAATTAATGTGTGAGTTTAAACCTATAGTTACACTGGTATAACTCCTCATGTGGACACTTATTCCAGTATAAAAGAGTGCCCCTGATTGGTTTAGCTTATATCATTTCGGAAGGGGTTTAATCTAAATGGGAAAAAGGCACTCTGGTTTTGGTAGAATAATGTCCACATGGTGGGCGGGGGTTTAAATCTCAATAACTACATCTGTATAATTGGTCAAACTTTCCAATGTAGACAGTCCCTAAGGTGCTGGCGAGAGAAGCAAAAATAACATTCGAGAAAGGCCATCCTCTTTGGTGGATCAAAGGAAAAGGAAGGCATGTTATAGCAACCTAGAAAATCTGACAGCCTGGAAATCACACGATAGCAAAGAAGAAACTTGTGCTAGAGGAAAATTAAGAAAAACAAATATTTTAAATAACACGTGTAAAATAAACATTCAGAATATCATAGGAAATATGTTTTACAACAAACTGAGACATGGCTGCTTCGCTACTTGCATCAATTGTGATTTTCTGGGATGATTTACCATTAATGAAAGGTTTTAAGTTGCACAATGACATCAAACTATACAATTAGGATGACCATACTTCCCAAAGGGAAAATGTGTGGGGCTGGCCTAAGCCCTCCCCACTATGGGACTAGCCCAAGCTGCATGCCTGAGCCTCTCCCCCCCATGGGGCTGGTCTGAGCCACTCACCTGAGGCCCCCCCCCTCGAGTGGGGCTTAATATGGAGATATACCTATCTCATAGAGCTGGAAGGGACCTTGAAAGGTCATCAAGTCCAGTCCCCTGCCTTCACAGCAGGACCAAATATCATCCCTGACAGATTTTTGCCCCAGATACCTAAATGGCCCCCTTAAGGATTAAATTTACAACCCTGGGTTTAACAAGCCAATGCCCAAACCACTGAGCTATCCCTCCCCTCAAGTGGCTTGCCCAAGCCCTGCCTGTCTCCCCCCCCCCCAAGGTGGATGCTG